TAGTTGTCCCAGCGGACAAATTAACAATGCTACACTTCCTTTATATGTAAGAGGGTCACCCCGAGTGTGGCAAATGAGGTATTAGATAGGGCAGGAGCTCAGAAACTGCATGCACAGTCCTTCTAGAACTATACCAAGGGACAGACGCCTTCTTAAATCTGTGACCAATTTCCCTGGTTTCTAAGGCGTAATCATGGGACCCCGAGTCCACAGGGGAAGGAAGACAAACATGCCTGGCGGCCAAATGAAGCTACTATTTTGAAGACTATGAGGACTTACAGCTTGGCACCTGGAGGAGGAAGAGCAGGAATATCTCCAGGAAGGCAGGAGAGGTTCAGAGAGAGGAGGGCCCTGAAGCCCCCAACTCCCTCCTTTAAAAAATACTTTTAGATTTATTTATTTTATTTTTATGTGTATGGGCTTTTGCCTGCATGTATGTATGAGCACTACAAGCTGCCTAGTACCCAAGGAGATCTGAAATGGGTCCATTGTTATGGGTGGTTGTAAGCCCCATGTGGGTGCTGGGAACTGAACCTGGGTCTTCTGAAAGAGCAGTAAGTACTCTTAATAGCTGAGCCATCTCTCTAGTCCCAAGTGTGTTTTTTTGTTTGTTTGTTTGTTTGTTTGATTGTTTGATTGTTTTGAGACAGGGTCTCACTATGTAGCCCTGGCTTGCCTGAAACTTACTATATGTAGACCAGGCTGGATTCAAACTCACAGATATCTGTCTGCACCTGCCTCTTAGGTGCTGAGATTAAAGGCAGGCTTCACCATACCCAGCTTCCTTTTGATATTCAACATTACTAGAATAGTCTAGAAGTAAATAACCATGAGCCAGCATTACTAAATGCAGAGCAAACACTTTCCCTGTAGCATTCTGCCAGGAAAAGGGGAACCTGGGACACTGTCCATGGTGGACAGCTGGCTCTGGCTGAGGCCCCCAGAACCCAGCCCTCTGAGGCACAATGCCTTAGTGCATACTCGGGTATCCAAGGCTGCAATGTCTCTGCTGCATGCACAGAATGGTCATTTTGGCTCCAGCCTGACCATTTGGGGACAGCATAGAGTAGCAAAAGCCACAAGACAGGTGGCCTGCTTGGCAGCCTCAGGCTCCCTCTTTAGTTGGCACTGGAAGAAGACTGAGGAAGGGATTACCTCTGTGATTCTTCAGAGCAAGCTGGAGCAGCTCGCTCAAGAGGACATTCTCCTGGCAATGAGAGCAGCCAAGCACCTGAGTGACTAATTAGAGCTAAGAGCAATCGAAGCAAATCTCTGGTATCCTGAGTCGGAACCCAAGTGCAGAACTTACTCTGAATGTCGGAATTTGGGAGGAAGGGCAGGAGCAGGCAGAGTATAAATTTTAATAATGTATATAACATAATTTGCATCAGGAATGAAGGACATGCTTCCTTTAGGCCACACTAGGTACTGTCAGCCTTCCAGGCAATAAGGGAAGCAACCAGAAGGAAGCTGGCTTGTGAGCTGTGGTGCTCCAGGGGAACTGCTGTGCTCCAGGGGAGGAGCGTGGAGCTTTCAGATTCCATCACAGCCATCTCTGCTCCAGAGAAGCTTGCAGGCCCGAGCAGTCAAGCTCACCCCTTCCCCAACCACCCCAGAGGAAAGGAGCCTGTCAGCCTCACTAAAGAAGAAAGGAGGGAAAGAAAAACAAAGACAGAGGCAAACCTCGAGTTGCTGTGTATCTGTTTGAAGGCTCAAGGCAGAGAGAGTCGGTTTTATGCAGAGGCACCCTGGGACCCGCGGGACGGAAACCTGAAGGCTGCAGTAGGAAAACATTACTTTCAGGGCGGTTTTAATCAGCTTGAGCAGCTCTTTGATAGGCAAGGATGTTAAGGCAGGAAGGGCCCTTTGCAGAGTCTGAAGATGCAGAGGGGGTGGCATTTAACACTTGGTTGTCTTCTGCCACCCCTCCCTGTTGGGGATGCTCACACAAGGCCTTCAGGCATCGAAGCAGAGCCAGGGCTGGGCTTAGACGGGTGGGTGATTATAGCCGGAAGCCCACAGAACCCCAGGCTCCAGCCATTTACCAGCTGCTGCCCTGGGTAGGTATATGGAAGGGTCCTTAAGCTGGACTGAGAAGAGATGAAATAAAAAGTATAAAATTAAAGAGAAGATTAGCAAAATCTGCTGAAAGAAAACACCACTAGCCAACTTAGCAGCTCAAGTTACATTTACCCACATTGCACATGGAGTGGGTAATTGTGAGTATTAAGTCCAGGCTCTGGAAAGAAATTGTGGGCTTGATAACCTAACAAGGGGTAACGCCAGAGAAATCACCTTCCCGGGAGAGACTCAAGACGGTATAAAACCCATCGGTCACGTTGAGACAAATTTCCCTTGGTGGGGCTCCCCATAAGCCTAGCTCTGACTCTCAAATAGCCTCTGGGTTCTCTCCAGAGCAGCAGCAACACTGGTACCAGTACCAACCACCCCCAGATGTCACTGCGCTCACATGGCTTCCACCACTCTGTATTGGTGTGGCTTCTGTCCATGGCACTCTGACCTTGGCAGGGCTGGAACACTCCGGGTTAGGCAAGGACTGTCTTAGTCTCCTGTCCATTTCCATTTCTGCCCTGTAGGCTGAGTCTCTCCTGGCCATGGGGTTCTCTTAGTTTCTTGAACTTGTTCTTGTGTAGGGTAACTCTGAGCCCCCGAGAGCAGTTAAACAATCATTATCTATGTGTTCCTCCTGTCACATCCCCAACAGCCCCCAAGTCTTCAAGTTCCCAGGGTTCCTCCCAGTTCAATGTAACAAATTTCAGCAATCCAAGGATTACAATTTTAGCAGAACATGGCAGTGTGTGTAGGTGAAATTCAACACTCATGGTAGGCTTCTGGCTCACATGAGTGTGTCACAGACCTTCCCTGGATGTTCTGTGCAATATAAATCTTTTAAAAGGGAAGGATTCACCTCCTTGGCCAGCCACTACTCAATGGAAGATGTTGATCCACTCCTCCATTTCTGCCCTGTTTAGCTTTTTACCTTCTCCAGTAAAACTCAGAGCCCAGGCCTCCTTCCTCGACTCAGTAGTGGGTAGGATGATATCTTAGGGATGAACTGTCTGGCCCTAAGCCAAAGAAGATACTAGCAATCAAATCCTGTTCTCACAAAGGGAATCCCTTCTGCTCAAAGGTAAAAGGATTCTTCAGGATTCCTGAGCCTTCCCGTCCATCCATGTGAGGCCTGGCTCCCATCACCACCCCTTATCCTGACCTCAGCTATATCTGCTTTCCAGGTCCCTAGTTTGTTGGGGCCTACCCTGCCCTCAGGACATTCGAAAGACAACCCTGTGGGACCAGTGGCTGGGAAGTGGAGTAGCTGGAGTAGCTCCTCTCCACACATAACGTGCCCTTGTAATGCTTCATCCAAGTCCCTCCAGGAACAACAGGTTATGTCTTTCAATAAAGCCAAAATACAACAGCACACAAGTGTATGGCCATCACTCTCAGAAAATCTTTAACAAAAGGGCTTGGGAGAAAGCTCAGTCAGTGTGCTTGCCCTATGAGCAAGGGGACTTGAGTGTAAGTCCCCAGAACCCATGAGACAAAGGCAAGCCCAGTAGTGTGCACCTATAATTCCAAAACCGGGAGAGGAAGGGGAGCAGAGACAGACAGATCCCAGGACCTCCGTGGCCAGCCAGCCCCACCGAATCTGTGAGCTCTAGGTAAAGTGAAACACTCTGTTTTAAGAAACAAAGTGGACAGGGTCCTGAGAAACAACATCTGAGGCTGACCTGTAGTCTCAATGTAGATGCACAGATATGAATATGTGTATGAAAACACACAAAGAAAGGAAGGAAGAGAGGAAGGGAGGGAGTAAGGGAATGAAGGAGGGAGGGAGGGAGGGAGGGAGGGAGGGAGGGAGGGAGGACGGATCTTCAGTATAAGATAGGTATACATATGACGACTCTCACTTCCCTTTGGTCACTATTAGAGCTAATTTAAAGAAAGAACGGAGTCCCATCCCACCAGAATAAGACCAAGAGCTAATCAGAACCAACACATCAGGCACTGTGTTTTTTCTTGACTTCTAGTCTTCAGAAACAAAATCTATGATCATAAAACAAGTAGGCACCTGGCACGGTCACTCATCTGCCTACCCACCGCACGTCCACCAAGCACAAGGGATTTACAGAGGCCTTGATGTCCCCTCTACCCAACCCCAAGGACCAAGTGAAGGTGGTATAGATGTGATGTCCTGCCGAAATCTACAGCTCAGGATCCAGTCTGTTCTGAAAGAGACACGGCAAGCCTCTGTGCAGAGCTAATCTCTCCTCGCTGGTATCTACTGGTTTCTAGCTCTAAGTTCTGGAAGGATGCACATCAAATTGTCAACAGGGCTGGGGAGCTGGGGTGAAAAGGAGCTACTGGTACAGCCCCCACCCCCGGCCTCCACACCCCCTCTCTGCCCCACCAACCCTCTCTGCCCCCCACCAACCCTCCCTCTTCCCCCCCACCTCCACACCCTTTTCTCCCCACAAAATGTGTTCACGTACTCCTTCAAATGTTAAAAATAAACCAATAAATAGTCAAAACGAGAAGGAAACAAATGTTTTCTACAACACATACACACACACACACACACACACACACACACACACACACACACACTAAAGGCTGGACACAGCCAACTCCCACTGTCTGGTCTCTTCCAGAGTGCTGCACCTGCAGATCAAGAACTCCTTTCCAGGCTTGGCCGCCCCTGGGAACCCGAGCGAGCACATACTACAACCTCACCTCACCCGGGTGCCTCCCTCACCCTAGAGGGCTCCATGTAAGCAGTGGACTTCCCCCTTCTGCCTCAGAGCATCCCCCAGGTGCGCGCAGAGCAGCTGTGAAGGCCTTGTTGCAGAGGTCAGACTCCCACCACTCCATTCAGAGGACCCGCCCTGAGAGCAGCCCAGAAACCTGGCCTCTGTCAGCTAGGGCAGCGGCCAAGGCTTCCTCTGAACCGCATCCATCGCAGCGGCCTGCACACTCACCTGCAGATGTAGTTTGTCTTGCAGGAGTCCTGCAGATTCAGGCAGTTGGGCTTGTCTCTTTCTTCATAGGAGCACACAGGAACGATCGTCTGTCGGCGCCGCTCAGTGCAGGCAATGTCCCTGCAGGAGCAGAAGAGCATTCCGTAGCTGTGCTTGGCCGGGACCTTGTCAAAGAACTGCCTGAGGGCCTTGTGGCACTTGCGGCGGTTGCAGACCTCATTGGACATGCTGGTGGTGCACGGCGTGATGTAGGCAGACCTGTACTTCTTGCAGGTATCATCCAGGTTGCAGGCCTTGGCTGCATCCAGGCAGTTGTTCCCTTTGGAAATGTGCTCCACTGCAATGCGGAGAGAGGGGAGAGAGAACAGTGCTTTGAGTACATCTGCACCGAGGTCTCGCCATTCACCTGGCCACGCACACCCTCTAGAATTCAAGGAGTTTCAAACCTGGTAACATAATGGCCCAATACAAAGAGAAGTGTTAGGGTGCAAAGCCTAAGAGCCTACAGTAGTCCCTAGATGTCTTTGTGAAGCTATGGATCCAAGCCTGGGGAATGTGGGCACTTGCCCAGCTACCAGTAAAAAAGGCAACTGGAGAAATGTTTCCAGCTCTTGCTTGGTAAACTGAAATCAGGATCAAAGAAAACAGCAACAAATTATATACTTGTTCATGATACAGTATATAAAATGATATGCTGAATGCAAGTATAATTGCCATGCAATCCTCCAGGAATATAATTATGTAATAAATGAGTATAGAACATGCTAATTACTATATGATTACAGAGTAATTACATGGTTATTTGAGCCCAGAAGACAAAATATTATGCCAGCCTCTCTAAACAGGAAGAAGCAACTCCAGAGAGTTTGTATCTAAGTTTCAGCTCACAGGCCACTGGAAGAACACCAGAATAAAGCACATAAAATTTCATAAACCTCAATTACCATTTATCTCACCACATCCAAAATGTCGGCTTTGTGGACACTGAAGTTCCTGATTAGAAAAATTCAGCTAGGATTTTGGATAGAACTTCTCTGGGCTTGTACTCCACAGGCTTTAGAAATATCACAGAGCATATGCTACCTTCTGCTCAGGATCTCTATGCCCAGGCAGCCTGGAAAACCAGTGCCGCCCACTGTGGGCTGCTCTTGTGTGGTCTGGATGAGAGTTTCCAGCAGTCAGATCCCACCCACCAGGCGCACATGCCGCCTGGGCCAATGGGGAAGTTTCAAGTAAACAGACAAGAGGAACTGCGCTCAGGACCCACGCTCTCGTTTCTTTGTTGGGACAAGCACCTTGACAAAAAGACAAAGCAGGGAAAGGGTGCATTTGGCTTACTGTTCCAGAGCACAGCCTATCATTGAGGAGAAGCCAAGACAGGCTCTGAAGCAGCCTCTCACATCACACCCACAGCCGAGAGCGGAGAGAAATGGATGCCGAGTGCTTGATAGCTTTCTTCACTGTTAGTTTCTCCTGTTCCTCCACCTGGAGAACACTGCCACTCCTAGAGGGCTGGCTCTTCCTACAATTAACCACTTCAACTAACAATCTAGACTGCTGGGGGATGTCTTTCTGTACGCTGTGAATATGTGTGGCTCCCACTGGATAATAAAGCTGTTTTGGCCTATGACAAGAAAGCTTACAACCAGGCAGGAAATCCAAGTAGAGATACAGAGAGAGGAAGGGTGGAGTCAGAAGAGACACCAGCTGCTGCCAAAGGAGCAGTAAGGTGCCAGCAGACCGGTAACACCACGGCCATGTGGCAACTTACAGGTTGAGTTAAGCTATAAGAGCCAGTTAGCAAGAAGCCTGCCATAGGCCATACAGTTTGTAATTAATATAAGCCTCTGAGTAATTATTTTATAAGTGGCTATGGGACCGTGGGTGGGAAAGCTTGATCTGGACCTCGAGGCCAGACAGGACCAGAGAAACATCCCACTACACTAGACAGTCCCCAGAAACATACCCACAGACCAACCTGATAAAGACAGTTACTCAACTAAGACTCTTCTTGGGTAATTCCTAGGCTGTGGCAAGTTGACACTTAAAAGTAACTGTCACATCCCATGTAAAGGAGTTTCTCTAGAGAAAGTGAAGGAACCTTCCAGAACCCACTGATAAGGTGGCCCATAGCAGCTGATAAGCAGTTATACCAGTGACCCTCAAGAGCAGGCAGGGGTGTAGCAAACTAGCACTCTACAGATTCCCAAGCAAGTCCCTACTCAAGCCCCTCTCTATTCTCGCTTTCTTTCTTAGCATGTTCTCTCAAGTGACGGAAGGCACCTGGTAAATTACAAGAGGTTAGAGAACTGACAAGAAAGAACAGAGTCCAAGTGGGCTGGGTGAGGCTGAAATGGAAGGCAATGGGTATGTGGAATATTACTCTGCCTTAAAAAGAAAGGAAGCCTTGCAACCTGTTACAATATAGAAGAAACTTGAGGACATTAGTCCTAGTGAAATGAGTTATTATCTGAAGGAAAAACAAATGTGATTCCACTCATGTAAGGATGATAAATGGTCCAACTCCCAGAAGGCTGCTGGGCTGAGGGTAGGAAATGGACACAGTTGCTACTCAGTGGGAACAAGATTCCAGCTTCAAGCTGAGTATGTTCTTCAAGTTGAGAGGTCTTCAATACAAGAACCTGTCTGAAGTTACTGATCCTGTACTTAGTCTTACATTTTTTGCTAGGGGGCTGCCAAGATGGTTCAGAAGGTAAAGGTGTTTACTGTCCAGCCTAATCTGAGTATGACCTCTGGAACACACGTGGTACAAGGAGAGAGCCAGCTAACACAAGCTGGCCTCTGACCTCCACACCACAGTACTCTCTCACCACCACCCCCAACACACACAAAATAAATCAAAATATAATAACCTTTTTTTAATTACTAGAAGGTAAGATTGCATAATAGATATTCCTACCACAACCTCAGAAATAGCTTTTGCAGAACACAAACATAAAAGCACACAAAGTAACCAAAATCTCAAAGAGTTTTTATATGGAAAAAAAAAGTGTCTGGTTTTAAGAAAGAATTCCAAATGGTAACCCACTTTATAGCCTGGTACCACAAGCCGTGAACTACTGCACCTCAGGTCTGCATTTCTGTCTGTGGTCTCTGAGACTTGCAGGTTCAATGTGGAGGGCGGTAAGAAGACCTCTAGCCTTTCAGAGTGAGCGATGCAGTTCCAGAGAGCCCTGCCACTTCATCAGACACTCCTGAGGCTCTTGCCACCCTCCTCTGCTGTGGGATGGTCTGTATGTCAAATTGCTCTGATTGGTCAATAAATAAAACACTGATTGGCCAGTGGCCAGGCAGGAAGTAGGTGGGACAAGGAGAGAGGAGAATTCTGGGAAGCGGAAGGCTGAGGTAGAGAGACACTGCCAGGTGCCGCTATGACCAGCAGCATGTGAAGACGCCGGTAAGCCACCAGCCACATGGCAAGGTATAGATTTATGGAAATGGATTAATTTAAGCTATAAGAACAGTCAGCAAGAAGCCTGCCACAGCCATACAGTTTGTAAGCAATATAAGTCTCTGTGTTTACTTGGTTGGGTCTGAGCGGCTGTGGGACTGGAGGGTGACAGAGATTTGTCCTGACTGTGGGCCAGGCAGGAAAACTCTAGCTACACTGCTCTTCCCAAGCCTGCTTCTCTGTTCCACACTCAGAATCCAGGGTTCTTGGAGGGATGGCCACCATGAGCCCTGACACAGACTTCAGTCTCCGGACCTGGTCAATACTTACAACATTCTATTTAAAGATCTCCCTTTCTCTCTCTTTCTCCCTCCACCCCTCTCTGGTTTTTTGAGACAGGGTACTGGTTGTCCTGGAACAAGAGATCCACCTGCCTCTGCCTCCCAAGTGCTGGGGGGACTAAAGGTGTGAGCCACCACTGTCTGCAATTTCTTTTCTAAGTACAAGGATGTATGCACCCCAGGCTGGCCTTGAGCTCCACTTGCAGCTGAGGATAACCTTGAACCTCTAATATTCTTGCTTATCATCTGGAGTTCTGGGATCACAAGTGTGTATCACATGAAGTTTGTAGGGTGCCAGGGCTTCATGCATGCTACACACTTGTGGTGGTATTGTGTTCCCCGAAATATTGTGTACCCTAATAAATTTATCTGGGGTCAGAGACAGAATAGCCACTATATTAAACATAGAGGACAGGCAGTGGTAGCACACGACTTTAATCCCAGCACTTGGGAGGCAGAGCTAGGCAGAAATCCATGTGTTCAAGGATACAGCTAAGCATGGTGACTCATGCCTTTAATCCCAGAAAGCGAGCCTTTAATCCCAGGAAGTGAGGCAGAAAGCAGAAAGATATATAAGGCATGAGGACCAGAAACTAGAAGCATTTGGCCTGGTTAAGCATTTGGCTGGTTAAGCTTTCAGGCTTCTAGCAGCACAGTTCAGCTGAGAGCCATTCTGGATGAGGACTCAGAGGCTTCCAGTCTGAGGAAACAAGACCAGCTGAGGATCTGGCGAGGTGAGGTAGCTGTGGCTTATTCTGCTTCTCTGATCTTCCAGCGTTCACCCCAATACCTGGTTCAGGTTTGATTTTATTAATAAGAACTTTTAAGATTCATGCTACATACACTTTACCAACAGAGCCCTTGAGATGTTGAATGCAGGGCTGCTAGATCCAAGGATAATTTGTGTTTTTGCATGTCTACAGTCCTCTAAGTTTATAAATGGTGAATGCTTTATAACTGAAAATAGATTAATAAACTTTTATTTCATATCATCTGGGATAGTCCCTTAAGGCTAGATGATAGTGGCACCTTCATGTCCACATGGTACCAATGTCTAATGAAAGGTTTTTTCTAAAGTCTGCATAGAACAAAGCCATCTGAGACAGAAGAGGCTTCCACATAAGGGATGTCGCTAGTGACACATGATGCAGCAATGCATACAACCTCAAAGGAGAAAAATGGCAGAGGAGATGTCACCCCATGCACCAGGCATCACAGGCTTGCTGAACTAAAATGAACCTGGGCTCACATCTGGCACCGGTTCATTACGATGATAAGAATCCACTAAGTTCCAGCAAAACAATGTTACATTAAACTGTTATTCATTTGCATTCCGTTGATTTCAAAGTTTAACCTTTTACTATTTAACTTGTGTCGTTTTTTATAATGGCGTGAAAACAAGCAAAGGCTCTTTTTCTTTAGCATCTAAGATGATATTACAATAAAAATAGTAAGTCAACCTATGACACCCACAAAATTTCTTTTTCTCTGGAAGTAATCCATACTGCAACGTACAAGCTTAAGAAACACTTGGCTGGTATGTACTTCTCTGTCCCCAGGACACTGTTGCCTGTTGAACGTTTT